TCTTCTATTACTATGTTTATTTATTTATTTGTTATATATATATATATATATATATATAGCCCCCCTCTGCTTCTTTTCATTACGTGTTTCTACTTGCTGTCATGTTTGCTTGTAGCTGCCGCGTTATATTCATCTGGCGCTGCCTCGGTCGGCGATGGTCCGTATACGTGTATACTTTGTTCTCTTTTATTACTAATGATTTTGCTTTCTGAATGTGAAGGGATGCCCTTTCTGGCCACAGCCGGATCCAACCACTATGCTCAGCTTGGCCGTGAAGGCGGCACTGCGGTTTTCGAGGTGTTGGACATTGAAAATGATTTTGTTCAGGTTTCCTGTGGAGCGCGTTACACGTTGGCCTTAACAAGATCCGGCAGTGTATATGGGTGGGGGCAGAATGAGGCTGGCCAACTCGCACTGCCTGCACCAATTGTCAGACGCCCGACTTTAATCACCACTTGCCCTAATAGTGTTATTGTAAAGGTTTCCTGTGGGGAATCACACACCCTCTTTTTAACTTCATCCGGAGAGATTTACGGTTGCGGAGACGGCTCTTGTGGACAACGGGGAGATGGGACGTTTCACAGCAAATGCTTTGAGCCTAGTCGAGCACTTCTTATTGAACCCGCAAGAGATGTCTTTTGTGGTGCACGTACGTCGTACGCCATAACAGATGATGGTGATCTCTTTGGGTGGGGCGAAACAACAACCGGTATGCTCGGTGCCAAAGCATGGCCCACACCAACCTTGGCTGTGCCGACTCGTCTTTCTGTTGGCCCACCGCAAACCCGCATTGCCCGGGGAGTTGCTTCTCGAAACTTTGCAATACTTGTAACCACCAAGGGTGAGGTTTTGGGTGCGGGGAGTAACAGTGACGGTCAACTTGGAATAGCCGATTCTTACACCTACAATTGGAGGCTCATACGAGATGTGGGGCGTGTTTCTCTTGTGGCCTGTGGTTGCCGTCACACGATATGCTATCAGGTAGACAAAAAACGTTGTATTGTGCTTTCCGACCAACTTGGGTCATTCACCTTGTCTAAACCGACGGGACTTGCCGCAGGAGATGACAACGTTTTTGCCTGGACAGATGGAGGAAGCAGTTTGTTCGTATATGGGCACAACAGAAACGGTCAGCTTGGTGTTGGCAACATTCCCAACGTTGAACAGCTCACTCGGGTTCCTCTCCCGATAAAGGCAAATGTGGTCATGGTGTCGTGTGGGCGGAAACATACTTGCCTCTTGCTTTCGGGGGAGAAGGTACAACGTGGGGATGACACGGTTTTCATGGAAGACTCTTCTCCAGCTGAAGGAGGCCTCACCAGCGAGCCACGCGCGGTGGCGGATTGGGGGGGGCGACTCTCCTTTGGATGGGCATGCGCAGCCACGTCAATAGCCGCCCTGATAGGGGGAGCGTTAGCCGCAAGCCTTTACGGTCACCAACGGTGAGAGCTGCGACGAGAGGAAACGACGAGGTGGAGGGGGTGGAGAAAGGAAATCATTTGTCATTGGTGCCGGAACGATTGCATGGACACTCTGTGATGCAGCCGCCCTCTCCCCGAACTTTTGAACCACCTGGGTAGATCATTGTCAATAATAGTTAATTAGATACTCGTCCAAGTAAAAAAGCAAAAACAAAAACACATTTTTGCACTGTTCGCATTCTTTTACTGGGAACAAAGTGTAGCAAGAAGCAACTCAATAAATATGAATGCATGCGTACGTATATATTCGTGACGCCTTCATTCGTGCCACGGCGAAAAACAAAAAAAAGGGGGGGTAAGGAAAGAGAAGAAGGTACCTTGTGCTTCAATTCCTGCAAGACAGGGGGACGGTTGCTTGTAATTCGCTTGATGGTGCACATGCGTTTGGGTGCATCTACGTATGTGTGTGTGTGTGTGTGCGCATATGCATTGTTGTTGACATTTGTGAATAGTTTTGCTCGTTGCTTCTTGTCCGCTCTGTTGTTATTTGTTGTTTATCTGCTTCCCCTGACGCAACGATGGAAGGGTAATAAACCCCAGTCTATGGGGAGAAGGCATGTGTGTGTTTGTTGTCATCACGGGCTTCTGGTAATAATATGCGGCCACACGTATTGAAGTAGATGGTAGCGCGCCTTGGTTAATTGCGTTGTGCGTCGACTGATTACATGCTTCTTTTGTTTCTTTCTTTGCAGCGAAAGCCGTATTGGAGGGAGGCGCAATGGATCTTTTTCTTTTTCTTTCTTCTTTCTCCCCCACGACTTCGAACACCATTCACGCGGAGGGGCGTCCGGCGGTTGGGCGCCCTCCCTCTACACACACACGCCGCCACTTTGTGCGTTCGCGGCGCGAGACTGGCTCCCATCGCCGTGCCCCGTTTGCAACCGTTTACGTGTTGTGCTTCTGCTTGCGAACCCCCCTCCAAATCGAGGGACGTCGGGCGGAGACTGAACCAAGCTGTCCCCTCCCACCGTTGTATTCGTTCGCCTCGTAGGAATTGGAGGGGGACGCGCAGGGCCCCATTCAGGCGTAAATTTTCTTTTTGCATTTTGCCCTTTGCGGGTTGGATCTCTTTTTTTTTTTTCATTTCTTGTTGTTTTTTTTTTGGCATTTCTGCTGCTGTGCGAGTTGGCTGCTCTGGACAGTGTTGCTTCTTTGCCATTGAGGAAGTGTGAGACAAAATGGGTGATGTTGCTATGCCGGTTTGCGTAGGCATCAACGGCTTTGGACCAGTTGGGCAGGCTGTCCTTTTTTCCTCGTTCACGGAGCCCACAGTGAAAGTGGTGGCGATCAACGATGCTTCTATGAATATTGACTACATCGCATACTTGCTGCAGCGCGAAAGTCCCCTTTCTGCGGCAGACAGAGCTTCGGTGGTGGTCGTTGGGGAGTTCATCTGCATTCAGGGCTCTCATAAAATTCGTGTGTCACAGAAACACGATCTCGTGGACATTGCATGGCAGGACGTTGGAGTGCATTACGTGGTGGAGTGCACAGGATTAAGCTCAACGCGAGAGCGGTGTTGGGGACATGTTACGGGGGGTGCTAAAGGCGTTGTTATTGCAGGGCAGAGCGCGGACGCGCCAACTCTCATTCTTGGGGCGAATGACGCCGAATTCAAGAAGGTCTGCCCTGTTGTCTGCGCTGGCCTCCCTGTTGCAGTTGCACTTGTGCCTCTCATTCGTTTTATGCATGAACAATACGGTATAGATGAGTGCTCCTACACCGCTATTCACGGTATGCGGTCAGCGGAGCTTACCGCAGGAAGGTCCAAAAATCCGCAAGACTGGCGCCAAACAAGAGTGTCACTTGACAGCATTGTTCCCTACATCCACACCGGCAATAAGACCATGGAGAGGGTTCTGCCGGGTCTCGTGGGACGCATCTCTGGAAGTGCGTTTCAGGTTCCCGTGACAAAAGGATGTGCCGTGGACATGCTGGTGCGGCTGAGCCAGCCTGTCCCGAAGGAAGTGCTGGATGAAGCTTTGAAGGAGGCCGCCACAGGTCGACTCAGTGGAGTGTTTGTGTACTCGAACGAGGATTTCGTTAGTCGAGACTGTGTGCCAAATGGTAAGTTGTATTACGACGCCAAAACTTCTCATTCTATACGTGAAGGGGAGGCGCACAAACTACTTCTGTGGTTTGACCTTGACGGAGGCTATGCGAAGCGGATTTTGTCCCTGCTGGTGTTTTTGCATCAGATGGGCGACAGTGACGGGATGTAACTAGGGGCCCACAAGGAAGAGGGAAGGTGGAAAATCCAACCACAGCAACAGCAAAAACGAGGGGGCGCATGTCTCCCAAGGAGAGCTTTGTTGGTGGTGGTGGTTGGGGGAGGGGGTGGCACTACTTTGACTCTCTAGCATGTTTTATATGTACTTTCCATGCCTCCCTCTTGGGGGTGGATGGGGCGATGTCCAAAACAGAATGGTGACATTTTTTTGTCATTCTTTTTTTTTTTTGGTTCCCTGTCTCCCTTTTTTATTTATTTCATTGTGTTACCTGATGGTACTGTTCTTATCCCTTTGGTGTCCGCTTTTTTTCTTTTTGCGTGTGTGTCTTCCCTCTCCACAACGTACACACGTACAAAAAGGATCTGCTGAAGCGAAGAAAGGAAGGAAGGGCTCGTTCTTTTTGTCGGCGTCTGCCTGCTGCTTCGTTCGCGCGTAATTTCTGCTGCGACAATGAGTCTTTGCGCTTCGATCTGTGCGACAGTCATGGGGATGGACCCCTGGGCGCTTTTCGCCACTGCCCTCGTCCAACAGCTCTTTGCCATGGTTTGGTTTGGTCTCATCGTCAAGACAATTGCGGACTACTACCTTGCCGCCGACAAGGGCGTGCGGCGGGTGGAGCACATAGTGCACCGCTATTCGCCCGCCCTTTGCACCTTCGCTACGTTTCTCGCTGGTGTCGTCCGGGCCGTTGCAGTGTACACCGTGTTTACGCTTTGCAACGGCAAAGGACTCTGCGACTACCAGCAGGCGGGTGTGGTGGTTGCGGTGCTTGCGTGCATCAATCAGCACCAGTTCTTCTCATGTCAACGCCCCCTGCCGCTGTTGCTCACAGACTGCGGCTACGAGCTTGCCGCCGCGCTTCTGGCCTCAGTGTCTTTTTTCGGCCTGCAGAAGTTCAATGTCTAGATGGGAGGCACCCCGCAACTTGATTTGTCTTCGTCGGTGAGTGTGTGTGGTCTCTTGCCTTTTCTTTTTGCGGCTGTTACTATTTTCTTTCTTTGGAGGTACTGCAGAAGTGGCGCCGCGGCGATTGCTCCCTTTCCCTTTTCCCACAGGCACGCAAAGATGGGATAACAATACAAACAAGAAAAAAAGGTTAAATGAAAAATGGACGTGAAACGGGTGCGAAGGAAAGGACAACTAAGTCTCAAGAAACCCACGTCACGAATCCGACAACAGCAACAGAAAAAAGGGGAAGTGCTTGGGAGTGAGAGGGAGCTGTGCGATAGAGCGGCTGTCCCCATTATTTTTGCACCAACCATTGTACCTTCTTCATAGAGTATCTGTCCATGTCTGTACTGTTATTGATTGACGCAGGAACGTGAGCACGCACGGCACACAGACAGATAAATGCGTACAAAAGCATCTGAGCGACGCCCGAGCGCAAATGCCGAGAGAAAACGAAAGGAATATGTGCTCTTTCCTTGTATGTTTGTTTTTGAGGTTTGTTCCTCCCTTCTTCTTTTTTTTGTCTGCATTGGTTTTCCTTTTTTTGTTTCTCTTTTTGTTGTTGGCTGACGGGGACCCCCTGGCTTTGTGTTTCAAAGCGAACAAAGAGAAACCGTAGGAATAGAGAAAAGCAGAAAGAGAGAGAGAATCCTCAAAGGAGGCCTTTTTTTTGTGCAGCTGTCGGGAGGGGAGCCATGGGGAAACTGTGTTGGCTTCAGGTCTCGATTGGTGGTAAGCCACTGAAGGAGAAGATTCTGCTGGAGCTGTTCGACGACATTGCCCCGAAGACGTGTGCCAACTTTCGGGCACTCTGCACCGGCAATGAAGGCAAAGTTACGGAGGAGGCGCAAATCCCAATGACGTACAAGGGCAGTACGTTTCATCGGATTATTGCGGGTTTCATGATCCAGGGCGGCGATTTCACAAAGCATAACGGCACAGGTGGTGTGTCCATCTACGGCGAACGCTTTGATGATGAAAACTTTGATGTGCCCTGTGACAAGGCCGGTTTGCTTGCAATGGCGAATGCGGGACCAAACACCAACGGTTCCCAGTTTTTCATTACGGTGAATCCGGCGCACCACCTTACTGGTCGACATGTTGTGTTTGGTAAGGTGGTCCGCGGCATGAATACGGTGCGGGCACTGGAGCACACCGAAACGGGCGCGAACGACAAGCCTGTGAAGCCGTGCGTGATTGTTGACTGTGGTGTGACGGACACACTCCCAGAGGCTGAGCCGCAGATTGGGGGTGACACCTTCCCAGATTACCCGGAGGATTGCACGCCGTCACTGACGGATGCCGAGCTTCTTAACGCGGGGGAGGAGATACGGCAGATCGGGAACAATTTATTCAAGGCAGCTGATTTTGAAAACGCCATACAAAAGTATGAAAAGTCGGCTCGCTTTGTGAAGACGGTTAACAAAACCACCGCAAACAACTTGACTGTAAATGAAAAATTGGTTGCCTGTTACAGCAACACGGCCGAATGTGCACTGAAATTGGGCCAGTGGGCAGAGGCACGAAATGCCGCGTCGAGGGCCCTTGAGCTGGACAATTCCAACTCCAAGGCGCTGTTCCGGCGCGGGGTTGCCTGCCTCAACGCGGGCGATCCTGAATCGGCGGTGGAAGACCTCACAAAGGCACAGACGTTGGATCCTGAAAACAATGCGATCGTGACGAGGCTTCAGCAGGCGAAGGAAGCAGAGAAGGCTCGCACCGCAAAGCTTGCGGCGGGATTGAAGAAAATGTTCTCTTGAGACGTTTGTGTTTTCCTTCGCCGTTGATGTTTTCATCTGTGTTATTGCATGTTTTTTTACTTACCCCCGCCACTATTATTATTATATTATTATTACTGTTATCACTATTATTGGTTCTCCTTCTCCTCCTCGTTTTTTTTTTGCTTCTCCTTCTTCATGTACTTGAGTGATGCGTGCTGTTTCTGTTTTCTTCGTTGGCGCATCGATTTTGTGCTCCGGTTGAATTTATTGGGGCATCTCTTTGACGAACCTCCTGAAGACAAGGGGGGAGGTGGGGGGTGCGAGGAGAAGCAAAAAAAAAAAAAGAGGAGGAAATGGAAGGCGCTGCCGTGGATTGAGGTTGTGATGTATGCGTGCATCTGGATACGGGCTCTTGTTCTCTGCGCGAGTCTGCTTGCTTCCCCTCGAATTTGCTCCTGATCCACTTTTGGTCGACGCGTGCGCGTCGCTGAGAGGCAATAATTTTAAAGGGGCAAGGGCGTCACCGGTGCCAAGACTCACAGTTGGCGATGTGGTGGAGGTGCTTCCACGCAGCAGCAGCAGCAGCAGCAGCGCCGCCATCCACGTGTGTGCTGGGGGATTGTGGAGGAGTCTAGCCACGCAGAGGCTGCGCCTGTGCCACTAGGTGAAGTCTTTGAGTCGGTGCGTGCGGGGGGCGATGCCAGTGCCATATGCCGCCTTGCGGCCGTTGTGGAGTCAGAGCATCGCGGGACTTTTGGTGGCAAATGAGATGTGGACCGAACAGTGTGCATATTTCCATGGTCTCTGCGGTCATTTCAAGAAAGTGCGACGACGACGACGACGAGGGGAGTGCCAATTGTCGCACCACCTCCCTCACGTACAAATATGATTGGCATTCCACCGAATCAATGCGATTCGGGCGTCTTGTGCGGCGTCGGACACTTCATCCACGTGTCTCTCCACTCGGGCGCCATGAGGTGCTCTGCATTTTGGCCTTTTTGCTTGGTTATCCAGTGATGCATGCCCTTATTATACTGGTGGACGCCAGGATGACGATGATGTCTCAGACTATTTTTCACCATCGGCCGTGTACAATGACGTTGCTGATGAGCCTTCCAGCACCTGCAAAGCTGTTTCCCTCACCGTGAAGGGAAATCGTCCTTCTCTTCGTACTTTTCTTTGCTGCGGACTGTGAATGGCACTGTCGTGGGGAGGCACATGTGGGGTTTGTGGTCACGTGTGTGGCGGCTGCGTGGGGTGCATTCCTCGGCGCGGGGTGTCAGGCACGACTTTTTTTGTGCTCTTCTGGGGATGAGAAGGGCGATAGGGTGCCGGGTTTTTGAGGGGTTGTCGTTGCTGTTGCTTTTTCTTGTTTCACTGGTGTGCGGTGTTGCTGGCCTTATGCTCAGGCGACGGCAGGCTTGTTGTTGATTCTGGTGGCGGCGGGTGGAGGCGTAGTCCCTTCCGTGCATGTTGTCCTTCGACTCTTTTAAGCGAAGCAAAAGGGAAGGGAGCACATATGCTTTCCAGCGACAACGCACAAACCCACGTAGAGAAGAAGGAGGAAGCCATGAACCAATCCAACTCGTATTCGGTGCCACCCAATCTCACACTAGAGATGGTGGCGGCAAAGGAAAAAGAGTTGGAGGAACGTCGCGAAGCGATAATTAGGCGGCAGCGTAATATCGCAGTGGAAGTGGGACCACAGCCCAATTTCCCTCCAAGGTTTTTGTGCATCAGGCCACAGATATATCACAATATTAAGGAACAGGTACCAGTGCCGTTGCAGCGTTTTATGTACATTCTTTGTGGATTGTACATCAGTTTACTTGTACTGATTGTTTACAACATTGTATGTGCCTTTGTAAACTTTATATTGGGGGGAAACCCCATGCACTTTGGACTTTCGTTCCTGTATCTTCTAGGTATTCCTGGTGCATTCATTGTATGGTACTACAATGCTTACTGTGCAACCACGACCGCCTCGCGGCCCAGGAAGCTACTGGCATACCTGGGACTCTTTTTTGGTTTGGCCTTTGACGCTTGGATGGCAGTTGGTGTCTCTGGCTTTGGTGGCTGTGGATGGATCATAACACTTGGAATAACGTCACGTGTGCCTGCCTTCATCATGTGCTTGATTTCCTCTATTCTTTGGTCACTGCATGGAGTCCTTCTTTTTGTGATGCTCCTGCGCTTTTGGCGCTATAATCCATCTGGCGGAACTTCTCGGTACGAAAGCAGGGGGCTTTAGCCGTTCCTCTTGCAGTTATTTCTGGCCGATGTCTTGTCATTAGTTTTGTAGAGGGGCCTTTTTCTGCGTCCAATTGGTGCTTCTGCTGTTGGTAGCAGTGGCTGTGAGAGTGATCTTCGTTTTTTTTTAAAAGTTTTTCGTCACCCGTTTCTAGCAGTATATATATATATATATATACCTATCCAACTGTATGCGCCCGCGTTGAAGGATTGAAAACCCTCTTTTTCTTCCGCCGTGTGTGAATGGTCGAGTGTGTGTGTGTGTGTGTGGTTACCCTACCCTTTCTTCTTTGATTGTATTGCTATTACTCTTTCGGCGTTCTTGGCGCCATCCTCGTCCTAACCGGCCTTCTCTACTCTTTTCTTTTTCCGCGCTTACGCTGCACGTGCCCTCTTTGCCCCGCCGGAGGAGAGGAAGGCGCGGGGGGCCACACGTGGGCGGGAGCGGCAACCACGCTAGTAGCTGCGGCGGAAAGCGCAGATCCCTCCCACAAACACAAACACAGACGCACCCACCGGGAGAGAGAGGAAAAAAAAAAACGAACACGTAGCCGGGGCAATGAGTGTTCTTCCCGATTCTGGCAGCGAGTCTGACGGGGATGATTATCCTCGGCAGGCTGCCGCGGAGGGGACTCAGCGGTTAGCGCGGCACAAAATTACCATAAGTCATGGCAACGCCCCGTTTCTAAAGTGTCAGCTGCAGGAATCCCACATGTTCAAAGTTGTTATAGACGGCGATGACGGTGGGGTGGACATGCGTAAGGTGCACGAGCGCATCGAAGCCGCCTTGCGTATGCGACCACGCTACAAGAAAATGAACGAACGCATCCAGATGCCCCCGCTCGCGTCTCGTATCAGGATTTCGCAGGAGAATGGCGTCTACAAGGTCTCCAACCATAATGTTTTGCCCATGTACTCAATGCAGTCGTGGTCCACCTTCGCGTCGGATGTGCAGCATCTGCGGCTGACAGTTGGGAACACCGCCTGCATTAAGGCCTGTTCACATCGACTCAACATTATGCAGGAACGGTCCAGAATGTTCTTTCTTCTTAACGCTGACATTGAAGAGAAGCAGAATTTTCGCAGGGCAGGAGGGGTTTTCTCCAAGGCCACAAAAGTGGACAATTCGGTGTTGCTATCACGTTGTACAGACGCACAGGAGCTTCTCGATTTCATCCTGGATTGGTACGGCCGCTACCCCGATGCCCCACTGCGTCTCCGCAACGGCACCAACTCGACACTTCGTGAATTGTTTGAGGCAAATGGGGTACGTGATCCAACACTTTTGACAGTGGAGGGGCTGGGCTGGCAACCGAGACCCGGCAGCGTGGAGAACGCCGATTTTTCCCTTGATTCAGATCCCTTTAGCACCGAACTGCGATATAGCTTCCTTCACCTACGCGGGTCTTGTGCCCCGCGCTTCTTACAGAAGCGGCTTCAGAGAGCTGAACAGCAAGTACGCTACATTCAGGCCACAGAGCATTCTATTCCACTGTATGCCACCTACCCTCACGAGCTACTAGACATTGCCACCATTCTGAATAAGCATAACGTTGGCCCCTTCAGACGCAATATGTGGATTTTGCAGGTTTGCTTTATGCACAATCCCCCAGCTGGAGTAAATTATCCAGTGTACTGCAAGAACATCCAGGATCAACTTGATTTTCTCTTTTTGCCGTTGTTCAAAGCGACCTTGAATCCCACCGCAACAAAGTATGCCCCGCTTGCCTGGTTTCTTAAACAAGTTGGTGGTTTTGTGATCAGGACCCCGGCAAATACCTTGCAGGCAGACTTTGATGAAAAAAGTCCCGTTCCTAGTGAGGTGTCATACGGTACAAAACTCAATGAAATTTACTACATTTATTACATGCATGCCAATCTAACGGTTTTGAACAGCTTGCGGAAACGTCAAGGCTTAAATACATTTCAGTTGCGTTGCAGTGGAGGAAATCGAAATTCCATGGAGAGTCTTCTTGCCGGGTACCTACTGGGCGACGTCATTACGCGGGCTACAGGAATCATGGATTACCCAGTTTTGCAATACTTGTGTGGGTTGCACGGCGTTGGTATTACTGTGAGCCCATTGCATGATCACGTTCAGGGGATCGTGCACTACCAAAAACATCCGCTACCAAATTTTTTGCATCGATGCTTAAATGTGGCTATCGCCACTGAGGCGCCCTTCCTTTACCACCACGGCTCCTCTCCACTGTTTGAAGAGTACGGAACTGCCATGAAAATCTTTTGCATGAGCTTCCTCGACGTCACAGAACTGGCTCGAAACAGTGTGATGCTATCCTCGTTTCCGGTGGAAACCAAGAAGGAGTGGCTCGGGGAAAACTTCAATCGAGGAGTGGAAGGAAATGCATTTGAGTTGAGTCAAGTAACAAATGTACGCCTCGCCTTCCGTGAGGAGTCGTGGGATTTAGAGCGTGACATGCTGAAGGATTTGTACATCAACCGAAGTCTCCCACGCGAGGCGATCGGGTCGAGTCGTTGGCACTACCTTAGTAATGTGAAGGAGGTGGAGTACCACACCGTGCTGGACACGCGGGTTCGTTTTCCCCGCACGGTGCTCAACGGCCCGCACAAGGAGGTCAAGTGGGCCGTCAGCGCCGCATCCGCCATCGCCCGCGCGCTTGACCTGCGATTCAAGTACATTTGGGAGCCGCCGAATCCGTGGGAGGTGACGCAGCAGCGTTCCGTGGAGGCCGACTTTCAGCGAAAGACCGAGAGCTTCAACGAAGACGATTGGACCTACGCCGCCAACGATGCTGTCTTTATTTCTTTCCCAAAGAATGTCGTGCACGCGTGGCCGCGACAGCTTCCAACCGTGGAAGCGTTTCGCAGTGATTTGAAGGAGTTGCAGGATATTTGTGCTTCGTCTGAGGTAAAGGATTTTACCCAAAAACGACTTGAAAACCTGGAACACCGGTTTCGCCTGCACCTTGCCTTGAACCACGCCAATGAGGCAGGAACGACCGAGGACCGCGTTTCCTCCAACCGTGACATTTACCAAGCGGTGAAGGTTGACACGCACATTCACATGGCGGCTGGAATGACGGCGCGACAGCTATTGAGTTTTGTGGTGAAGAAGTACATGTATAGCGGGGATGACATTGCTGTGAAGAAGGGAGACGTGATTCACACCCTTGGACACTTCTTGAAGAAGAACGGCATCACCAAAAATTTAACGGTGGATCAGTTGAATGTACAGGCAGATCACACCCTATTTGAGCGCTTTGACAATTTCAACAATAAATACAATCCCATGGAGAACCCGGAGCTCCGCTCCTTGCTGCTCAAGACGGATAATTTTATGAAGGGACGCTACTTTGCTGAGCTGATTCAGGACGTCTTTGCGCAGTACTCAAGGGATCGCCACACGTACGCCGAAAATCGTGTTTCCATCTATGGCATCAATATCAAGGAATGGGACAATCTTGCACTGTGGTTTTCCACGCATGGGATGTCGTCTAAGCATAATAAGTGGGTCATTCAAGTACCACGCGTGTATAAAGTGTTTCGTGCACAGAATCTGATTGGGAGTTTTGGTCAGTACTTGCAAAACATCTTTCAACCGCTCTGGGAGGCCTCCTTACACCCTTCAGAACACCCTCTGGTGCACCACTTCTTAAACCACATGAGTGGATTTGACTCGGTCGACAATGAGGCAACGCTGGACTTGCCCTTTCTGCCTGTGTCGCCGTGGGCGTGGACCTCCGTAGAGAATCCTCCGTACAACTATTATTTGTACTACCTGTACGCCAACATCCGTACACTCAATGAATTTAGAGCATCACGCGGGTTTTCAACGTTTGCGTTGCGTCCTCACTGTGGTGAATCTGGCTCGGCAGAGCATCTTTACGGCGCCTTCCTCTGCGCAAACAGTATTTGCCACGGCATCAACCTTCGTGATGACCCTCCGATGCAGTATTTGTTTTATCTATCGCAGATTGGTTTGCACGTCTCCCCACTGAGCAACAATGCACTCTTTTTACGGTTTTTGAAGAATCCATTTCCCGAGTTTTTTCGTCGTGGCTTAAACGTCTCACTGAGTACAGATGATCCATTGATGTTTCACCAGACGCAGGAGCCTCTTATCGAGGAGTACAGCATTGCGGCGCGTGTGTGGGGGCTTTCTCCCAATGACCTCTGCGAGATTGCCCGTAATTCGGTGCTGCAGTCTGGCTTTGATTACATGTTCAAGCGTGACGCCATTGGGGATCAGTGGTACATGAGTTCCTCCCTCGGAAATGATTCCCTGCGAACACATCTCTCGGACATCCGTGTGGCCTTCCGCTTCGAGACCTACCATACGGAGATGGATATCCTTGAGTTGTGCTCTGGACGCCCGATCAAGCGCTGCATGCTAACCACGGATCAGGAAGAGGAAATCAACGAGAAGAACTTTGACGTTGGCCCTGAGAAGGTCATTTTGTCGACGCACGATCAGGCAATAGAAGTCATGCGCCGTGAGATTGAGACGAGGCGAGAAGAACTTCGGGTCTCGCGGATAAAGGTGGACGCGCTGCGCCGACAGCAAAAATCTCTCGTGGACAACCTGACGGAGGTGGCCATACATCGACAGCAATTGCAGGAGGAAGCGGAGCGATGCAATCGCGCGGAGGTGCTACACTACGAGCGGCGTGTTCCCACGCCCCCGGATGCGGCATTTCTCACGTCTGAGCGGGCAACTGTGCAGCGTCTTCTCCGATGGCGCCCTATGCCGTTGGATGTGATGCAGCATGCGACGGAGTCATATGTGCCGCTGCGGAACCCTCGTCCCCTGCCCAGTTTGAAGCCTCTCAACACGGGCATCCGGCACACCATGTAAAGTGTGCGTATGTACACACACACATATATATATATATATATATATGTATTATATATATACGTATGTGCTCTTCTCTATCTCTCATCCTTTATTGTTGTTGAACAAATTGGAGGGGAATAGTATTGCATGTGAAATAAACTCTATATGCGAGTTGTGGAATGGAATTTCCTCTTCTTCTTTTTTAAATTTATTTATGACTGTTATATATATACATACATGTGTAGACAGTCTGCTCTTACTATCCCATGCTGCATCACTCTTTGCCACTCTGTGCGTGTGACTCTTGCTCGTGAAAGCAGTTTGGCGAGAGGAAGTCAGGGAAACAGTATCTAGAATACAGAAAAACACGCAGCCTGCGTTACCTCATATTCATTGTAGACATTATTTTCGGCGATGTCGAGTGCGGTTGACCCTCTTGGTGAGACGTCCCATCGAGAGGCTTGGGTCTGCCCCAATTGTGCGGTGGAGGTTTCCCGGGAGAACACCTACTGCCAGGTCTGTCTGCGTTCTCGTCCAATGGACCGCTACGGTGTGCCTCAGATCTTTGCTGGGTACAAAATACACTTTAACGGAGTTATTCCACGCACCATTATGCATCCAAGTCACTCAGTGGAGTGGCGCATGGCTGAGCGTCACGGGGCGACGTGCATGGTGAACTTCGATACCGCCCATTTAAACTTGCTGATATACCGCACCGGGTACGAGCGTAGTGACAAGGTGCGGAGGTGTGTAGAAAGGGAAGCCGACAATATTCCTGCGGTCCCCATCACCTGGATGCTGGACTGCCTGCTGCAGTCGCGTCAGATTCACCCTACGCTCTACCGCCTAACATCTGTTCCAGTTGTGGCGCAGCCTACAGGCAACGGACCGTCTCTTCCGCACCATCAACACCCTTACTACCTAATGAACATGGAGGAGTACGCCATCCCAACATCATTTCCGTATAATAGGAAGAAGACAGCCAATGGTACTAGAGAAAATGAGGCGCTGGGCGCACCTGCAGATCTTCCACCCAAGTTTAACCTTCCAGAACTGCAGTACACCAACGTTGACGTTTTCCAGGCCGTATGTAACACGCAAAAAGGCAAGGCGAGCGCGGAGGATGATCAGGAAAACTATGAAGAAAAACTTGGCATATGCAAGCGTGCGGCCAATATTGAGCTTCTCGTCTGCGAACAAGGAAACAACCGTGTCGACAATTTTCTGTTTGGTGGTATGAAATTTCTCCTGACCCCGTCACTTGAGTCTAACTCCCAGATGACGCAGGCACTTAGGTTGTGTGGAGCCAAAATCGTCCCCTCGTCGGCAGGCAGTCTCGACGAAATTCTACGGACAGAAGTGACACACGTGTTGTACGATCATAGTGAGAAGAAGTGTAACCTCATGGTGGAGGCAGCGCGGAGTAAGAAGGAGTTCCCTGGGCTTACGCTGGCGCAGCTCAACTGGGCAGAAGATTGTTTGATACTTGGGGAAGTTGTTCCCCCGTACGGTCACTATGTCCCAACGGAAAAGCTGCTGAATACCCTGGAAAAGAGGTACAATAGACGGTGAGGATGGCCATCTAGCATATATGCATATGCGGCGCCATATGAATGCATGTCTATCTTGGGGTCAAGCCTTCTTCTGCTCACCCGGCCTTTCTTTGGTTTCTCCCTCTTTTACGCCACTAACAACAAAATCGGTTTCAGCAAACAAGGAACGTTTTTTTTGTTTTTGTTTTTGCTCCTGTTAAAAATGAAGAAGAAAAAGCCGAAGAAATGAATTCAGGCTCCGCACCAGCGACCTTCGTAAGGTGTAAAATCAAAAGAGGATGAAGTGGCCCCATCCAGTAGCTTCTGAATGACTTTTTTGCTTCGTCTATCCCCCACCTCACCCCACTTTGTATGAAGGAGGAGGCACATAGCGTGCACAGTGCCGACATCGTTTTTTTTTCCCCCCTTCCTTCGAGAGGAAAAAAAAAAGAGAGACAAGGAGGAGTAAGAAATTAGTATCGCATGCCGCGGGAAGCTGTTCTGTGGTTTGTATTTGCTGCTACTGTGCTCCTCAGTTGCGTGTCGGCCGAGGAATGCGCAATAGCGAGACGGTTGCGTGAGAATGAGAATAGGCTTTTCCTTGGCCTCCGCCCCCCGGAGGGCTTAAAAATGGCCCATACGGGCTGCATCAGGTGGTTTGGGGGCTACTGGAGCTACGAGTTGTGTCCGGGACGGTGGGTTCGGCAGTACCACGAGGTCAAGCATGTGATAGTGGAGGAGCACATTCTCGGTGTGCAGCACCAGTGGCGCCTCAGAGACAAGGTGGGGTCGCAGCTCCTGCAGTACAGCGATGGGACTCAAACCATACCAGACCGGCTGTTGAAGGCTGGGACGACCCTTGATGAGGGAAATTCATTGTATTCATGCGCCAAGAAAGGTACGGAGGCTCGTGTGAAACAAGTAGACGTGACGTATCCTGAGGGTTCTCCGTGTGAGACGGGCTTTCGGCGCTCTTCTTTGTTGCATTTCGTGTGCAATGAAGATGCCCACATTCCTGTTGTAACCCTGAAAGAGCCCTCCTTCTGCGAGTATGATATTACTGTTGTGGCCGCAACGATTTGCGAGGCGATGTTTAGAGTTTCCAAAGTAGTTCTTGATCTGGTTGATGCAGACATGAAGTTTGCCGTTTAAGAAGATACAAAAATGGGTTTCTTTTTGCGTGGGTGTGGGTGTCCATCTTTGTTGTTCTCCTTGTTTTTGTTTTTTCGCCCTATTTCTGTTTGCACTTGGGAGAGAAGTGGAGTATTTGGGAAAAAGTGGACTTGACGCAAATCTTCCCATGACAATATGGGGTGTCCGTTGCTTCCGTTGTGTAGTTTTTTGTTCTTGTTCCAGGGGTGAGGGAGGGGGGAAGAAGAAGCAGGAATGTTTCTGTTCATGGTGTTTGCCCTGCTGATTGCCGTGGCAATTGCCGTGGCGCCAGCAGCGCAGGCCCTGCGAATGAAGCTGGCCACCTACGCCCTTGCTGTGCAGTTCATGCTGGTGGCAAATGATCTTCCCAAGACGTTTACCGGGAGTAACTACATGCGAATGAATGCACCCGCCACCGAAGGTTCAAAGCGTGCTATTCGAGTAGTGTTTATTCGTCATGGACAGTCCGTGTGGAATTCATTATTTAACAGCTTCGGAACCACTTGGCCTATACGCATACTGAAGGCGATGGTTCTTGAGGCGATGTATTTTTTCTTAGATCCATTTGAATCTGTCATCATTGATTCCCCGCTTAGCTCCAAGGGGAGCTTGGAGGCGGAGGAGTTGGCCCGCTTCATACGCACGGCCGATGGCAAGATATCCTTTGACACAAATACGTCACTTGTGGTGTGCAGCAACTTGCGCCGGGCGATGGAAACCGCACTCCTGGCAATGCGACCGCGCATCTCCTCGACGCGAGAAAAAATTGTGGTGGACTCCTCGCTGCAAGAGGGTTCCCGCAACATGGATGCGCAGACGCTTTCCACTGAGCGTGGAAAACTGGTGCCTTGTAAAATGGGCAACTTGGCCTCCCCGGCCGAGCTAGGCGCTTTCTTTGATGCGCATTTGAATGCCGGCAACAAAACCTCAGACGTTAATGTCTACGGCAGGATGGACGAATTTGTTCGCCACCTCTTCGACGGGTCTCAGCCGGACTCGTACCTCCCAGCCACCTTCTCAGCGCTCGGCAACGCGGAGCTGAAGGAGGTCATCGTGGTGGGGCATAGCAGCTTCTTCCGCTGCTTCTTCCGCCGTTTTTTACCTCCGTCCTCCCGGCACATATCAAAGGCAAGGAAGCTGCGTAACTGCGGCGTCGTTGCGTTTGAGCTTCTGCGGAATGAATCCACAAATGAAGTATACATCGACGAGTCGACCATCACCGTGCTGCATAAGGGGTTTTTAACTGTCTAAGGAAGTTGTCGATGCGGAAGCGCGAGGAATTCGCGAGCGCGCGCGCATGTGTGTCTGAGAGCAGATAGCCGATGCCTGTGGGTAGTGTCGTATTGTTTTTGTTTTCAGTTTCTGCGTGGCTAGGTGCATGCGAAAAAAAAAGGCGCAGACACGCACAAACAGAAAAGGCAATGCAATGTGTCGTATAACGATAGCGCGAGGAAACCAAAAGATGCAGAGAGAGAGAGAGGAGGGGAGAGAGAAGTAAAGCCAGACACTGGCAGAAAAGGGGACGATGGCGTTAATGGTGTGCAATGACCCTTTTTTTCTTGATGTAATGCACGATGGATCGGAGGAGCTGCAGTACGTGTCCACGCACGCTGAGAGCTGGTTGGCTGGCTGTCTGGGGGGTGGGGTGGCTTCCTTGACGGCTCAGCGTCTTGCCAGGTTTATTTCTTGCTTCCCTCTTCCTACTCCTCGTGCGTGGAAGGGAGAGAGGGGAGGGTTTTGACTGCCGTTTCTCGCGCGTTCTGCGGCCCCAACACGTGATAGAAGCAAATAGTTAACACGAACTGCCCTTGACTGATGGCACTGCGTCGGATTGCTCTCACCCCGGCCTTACGCCGCCTCTCCGCTGCCGGAGCTCACTTTCACATCGCACAGGAGACGCTGACAGAGGCGGAGCGGCGCCACTTGGAGCAAGAGCTGCCACCGCGAGAGCTCTTGACGGAGTTGCGCTCCAAGGATGAGTCACCCGGTGAGAAGAGCGATGATGATGTGAATGTGCCGGGTGATTCCTTTGGTATTATGCGCAATCGTGTTGCGTTTTACAGGCCGATTCCACGAGATGTGTACGCCGGAGACTTGGGGGAGCTGTTCCCTGAGGGGTGCCATCCGATGCGCTGCGTCAACCCTTCCACGTTGAGGCGTCTCTGCGGACAATTTGCTCTGAGCCCCGCGGAGGCGGCTGCGGTAATGTTAGAGGCGGAACTGGACATCAATGTGGCAGTAGATATTATTCTGAAGCGCAAAAGGTTTAAAGCAGGCTTTGGAAGTTTTGGATTGGTTGGCTTTGAGGCCTACGCACCGGAGACGTTTTGTTTGGTGAGCTTCGCTCTTCCATCTTTTGAAGCCACACGCAATGATGATGTGCTTGACGCCATCCATGAGTTAACGTTATCCGCGGCGGAGCTGCCTTTGGATGTGCCAAAAGGTGAACTTGTCAATAAATTTTTGACTCATTGGACGACTGAGGATGGAACGAGTTGCAAAGAGATGATGGACTCCTTTGACATCACTGTTCAGCGCATTATTTTGTTGCCCTACGGGGAGTACAGCGCTCAGGGTTTTCATATTCTGCACCCTGTCAAGGAGGACGTTCCAAACATCGGAACAGGGGCAGCAGCATGCTGTCTGGATCTTCGAACGGGCATACACAATCGCTTTCGGTTTCATGTGGAACGTGTCGCCGATTCTTTGAGCGAGCATATACTCCGCGAGCTGGTGCACTACGGGCAACACATCCATTTGTTTCGGCAGGCGTATTGGTTTAAACCAGAGTACAGCGTGGAAGAGTACATACGCTTTAAGGAGTCTTTGTTGCAACCGAGCGCATCTATTTTTGAGATGCGCTATGCGGTGCTCGCGGCAGTTCCTTACGCCCTGGAAGGTTACCGCAACCTTGTGGAGGTAGAGAAACTGAAGGTGGCACAGCACAAGTATGAGAAGCACTACGAGGATTTCACTTCACCTGGTAAATGGATGACGAGCGATAATGCCCAGCTTCAGACCGTTGCGACGGGCAGCGGGAATGCGCCCGGGTCAGTAATGCACATGCAAACGAATAGTCCAGATACTTCCAAGACTGCGATGGAGACAAGAACAGCACCGCTCCGTCATGTTCTGGAAAAATCTATTCAGGCCCATGGAGACCGCGTTTTTGACCGCTTCTATCGCAATAACTATCATTAGCTCCATCACATGAGTGCTTTGCCTCTTTATCGTTATTAGCTGCTTCTGTTGCTTGGTAGCTTTTCCTTTTTCGTCTTGTTGCTGCTTCCTTTTTCTTTTCTTTGCGTGTGCGTGGTTGTTCCTTGAAAGCCGTAAATGTTCGCGGGATGGGGGGGGGAATGGGTAGTGGTCGGTGAGTCGTGGCAGGTGTATCTTGCTTGAGTTAACATTCTTCTTCCAATGCCACCCACGCTCATGCGTATTCCTCCCACCCATTGTATCACTATCGTTCACTTCTTGTACGCGTGTTGTTGTGCTTCTCTGTTCGATGCGCCCTGCTACTGCTGCTGCTGCTGCTGCTTCTGATTTGTTTGCTAAAGTAGTTAGTAGCACGGAATGGGGTGCGCTTCCTCGACCCGAAAGGCGCTGGCGGATTCGGGGCTGCGGCGTGGCTTGATAGCTGGGGGGAAGGAACGTGCACCGGTGGATGCCGCGTCCGACACTTCGCCCCAAGCCTCAAAGGGCAAGACAATTGATACCTACGATGCCCTTGCTGTTGCTGCTGCACACCGCAACACCACGCCCTTTGCGGACTATCGTGGAGTGGAGGTGTACATGGCAGGCGCGACGCCCGCCAAGATGAACGCAGTCTGCCGGTGGCTTGACTCGATACTGGAGGTCCGTGAGCGTAATGGCGGATGCTTTATTGACCAGAAAAGTGAGGCCTCCTCCGTGGGGCGCGGGGATAACTTGATAGATGTCGATGACGCCTCTGTTACAGTGGTTCCGGAAGGCGACCGCTCATTGCCCAACCGGCTTAATGTAAGTATGCATGCTTCAGGGGCCTCCTGCAACGCCCGTCGGGTGGAAAAATTACAGAGCAAATTAAGACCCTCTGAATTCCCACAGGCGTCGCCAAGGCGTACGACCAACCTGTGCAACGAAGAAAAAATGCCGGCTGTAGAAAGGTTTACCACACCAGACAATTCCTTGACGATATCGATTCTCTCGCCTCTGGAAAGGTCGAAACCCACACTAGACGTTGGGGTTAGCTGAGACGTTTGATAGGTTGGCGGTAAAAAAAAAAAAGGAAGAATAACCCAAAATACGGAATTCCAAATACATGGAACAGTGCGTGCCAAAAAATTGCACCCTGTCCCCACCTCCCTGCTTTCTGTTTTTCTGTAATATACGAAACAAGGTTGTGATGGGAGGGATGGGCAAGTATTCGTAGTACATCAAATCGGATGAAAGGGGAAAGTGGTGGTGGGTTACAACACGCCCCTGTTCCCATTGTTGTTGTTTCTTGGATTGATGGAGCCCTGATAGTTCCAAAGTTTGCTTTTGTATGCTGCACTCTGTAGGCGAGCACGGACGTCTACGCCCCCGTGTAAATTTAACTTTTTCAACTTTTTGTTGCTTTGTTTTGTTTTTCTCTGTGCTTTATTGCTCTTTTCTGCCGGTGTTGGTTCTTTGCTTTTTTTTTTCCAATCTCCCTTTCTTTGGGTTCTTCAACATGCCACCAAAACCCACATTTTTTGTGTTATTTGGGTTGATCGTCACTGGCGGGTGGCCCTCATGGATGCTCCTCTTTTGCTGCGATTCACCTAGATGTAGTGGACTCTGTTTGGAGATTTTTTTTCTTTTCTCTTTTTATGCATGTGCTTTATGGATTTGGCCGGCTGGTTGTGTGTGTTTGTTTGTTTCCCTTCGTTTTGCTGCTTGCACGTGTCGCTCGGCTTTCACTTGCGCCTTGGCGGCCTGTGCGCGTGTACATATGTGTATCATATTCCTGCGTGGGCCCGTCTTCTGCGCAGTGCGAGTTCCCCCCCCCCCTTTTTTTTAATTTTGCTTTTGGCTTTGCCTTGATGCTTCCGCCCCGCCAACGACAGGTCGCCATCTTCTTCAGAGTTCTGCGTCGGGCTAGGAGCCGAAAAAAGAAAGCGAAGGGGGAAAGAAAAACAGGCAGATACACGCACATATATATATATATATATATATATCTTGCTCTATCCACTCCTCACCCACCGCGCGAGGGGCGAGCAGAAGTCGAAGCAAACAAAAAAAAATGAGTCGCACGGGGTTTGACAAGTACATTACGGTGTTCAGCCCTGAGGGGTCTCTCTACCAGGTGGAGTACGCCTTCAAGGCTGTCACCTACGCGGGCCTGCTCACGGTAGCAATACGCTGCAAAGATGCTGTCCTGGTCTTTACGCAGCATAATGTGCCGGACCGATTGATGCGACCCGAGACCATTGCCTCGCTCCACAACATCAATAAGGACATTGGCGCGTGCATCACTGGACGGGCCTCCGACGGGAAGGCGCTTGTGCAAAAGGCTCGCCAGGAGGCATCCGACTACAAATACCGCTTCGGCTCCCCGATCCCTGTTAGCGTGCTCGCCAAGCGCGTGGCGGACATGGCGCAGGTAAGGACGCAGCAGGCCGGATTACGACTGATGGGTGTCATCATGACATTTATTGGAATGGAGCAAAACGATGCAGATGGGTTGTGGGTTCCGCAAATTTACTGCGTAGATCCCGCAGGGTGGTGTGGCAGTTACCATGCATGTGCGATTGGTAAGAAGCAGATTGAGGCGAATGCGTTCTTGGAAAAGAAGCAGAAGAATGCCCTATTTCACACCCTTACACAGAAAGATGCCGCCATGATCGCACTTGCCGCGCTGCAAAGTGCCCTTGGTGCCTCGCTGAAGGCGACGGATGTGGAGGTGGGGCGTTGCAGCGTGGAGGAGCACGCCTTTTGCCGGGTCCCCGATCAGGAGGTGGAGGACTGGCTGACCGCCCTTGCGGAGGCAGACTGATGTGGGCGGGGAGCCGAGAGGTCTCACGCGCACCCCGCGTGAATTTTGGCAAGCACAACACGATAGCGTTGCCTTTTCGCGCGCGCTCTCCATATTTCTCCATCAGCTTCCCCTCTGAACGAAGTGAGAAGGGAGGTGCCCCAACAGGTATATATATATTTTTTGTTTTTGTTTGTGGTCAAAAAAAAGGAGGACGAAGAAGAGAGAAGGAAGTGAAAGAAAAAGAAAATGTGGAGGAATAGGGCGTGATTGTGTTCGCTTCTTGCCGCACTCCTGTACGGGGAAGACATGCGACGCTGTCATCTACGTATATTTAGTTATTTGTGTGTGCATGCGCCGAGGTGTGAGCAGAGATTTATCCCTCGCCCTACTCCCTTCCGTTGCCTTCTTCCCCCCTTTGCTCTGCATCGGATAGTCCCCGATAATACACAAATAAGGAGGTCCGGTGGGTCCCGCTAAACCAGTAAACTTCCCGCTGCCGTCTCAAGATGTTGATGGAGTGGCTTCGAGGGAAGTCTGAGGACGTGCCCGCCGCAACGGAAAAGCCAGCAAGGAGGAAGACGTTAGATGTGGACCCTGAGGCACCACTCGAGCCTTCGCCTGCAGAGGACGTCTCGCGACGCGAGGAAATGTTTCGAAGGAAGTTGGCCGCTAGCGCCAAGGAAGGCCCAATGTCCCCGTCTAAATTGGTCAGCTATGAATCCATGTTTCGTGGGGCGCAGCGACTTCTCATGGAGGGAAACTTTGGAGAAATCAACGAGGGGCTTTCACTCAATTTGTCTCGTAACGCACAAAACGTGATGATTTCCTCGAAGTGTGTCCTTGTTTCCCCACAAATGTCGCACTGGGAAGTGGGGTTTCAAATGAACGGCTTTTCCGACATTGTAGCGGCTTCCTACAACACACTGAGTCGTTGGAGTCTGATGTACCAGCGTGTGAGCAGCACGGGTGCACTGCTCCTCGCCCAGTGCATGGCTCAGAAGCAACAGGGCATGACGCAGGGCACAGTGGTTGGCATGCTTCAGTATCCATGGGTGTACGGCGGTTGCAGCGTGGCTCAGTACGTTAAGAATCAATCGTTTACGTTGAGCCACACTCAACGAGTCGTGCGGGGCGTGCATGTGGGATCCAGTTTGTCATGGGATCCCATGACGAAGGGGACCTCGCTTTCTCACGGGTTTACGGCCGTAAACCCATCAAAGAAGGGATCCTTGTCCGGGGAGTGGACTCCGAGTAAGGGCGAATGGAAGCTGGCGCTCACAAGAAAAGACTGGGCCCATGATGCTGAGTTTGCGATGCAGCTTGACCACGCTCAAAAAGAAGAGGGTATGCTAAGCCAGTTAAGCTTTGGTCTGCGTAAACAATTTATCGGTGGTGGTTCAGTGAGTGCTGTGCTTAGCGGGTTCTCCGTAGTAAAGGCAGCCGTGGAGCTGCCCTATGGCGGGGAACGCAGTGGGCTGAATCAGGTTAACTGCGTGTACAACGCCCAGTACAACATCCGCTCCGGTGCGCTGAAGCACGGGCTTGTCTTCACGGCGTAGCCCAGACGTCTCCGTCCCCCCTACCTGCCATCCCGCCGGCGATGCACGTTGACGATCCACGGGAAAGAGCGGGGGAGGAGTGCCCAGACGTTGGAAGGGCTGGGAGGCACCGGCACCCGCAGAGCAATGACCCCCTGTATTCACATAAAACAAGGAGCTGGTGTAACGCTAAGAAACGAAAAGGAAAAAAAAAGGGGGAAAAAAAGAAACAAAAAAGAAC